GTTTGGCCAATGCTCTCAGGCCCAGGGTGGATGCTTGGGGTGTCCTGTGCAGGGACAGGAGTTGGATTGATGATCCTTGTGGGTCCTTCCAGCTGAGGATATTCCATGACTCTTCTCCCTCTAAACCCTGGGGCAGGAGATCTCCCCAGGACAGCACCACACCCAGAGCCCAGGTGACACAGCCCCTGCCATCCCTCTGCTCCCTGCCTGAGGAGCACAAGCTGTGCCAGGAGCTTAGATTAATAATTTCTTTATTCATGTAAAACAAACGCAAGTATTTATATAAACACTGACATTACAAAGTACTGGAGCAGGTAGGGGCAGGAAGGAGGAAACAAAAACCTCTACAGATGCTTCTAATACTGTCCCACACACGACCAAACTCTCTGTCCCTTGGGTAATCACTTGTACGATAAACCACTTTCAAGTCACAAATGAAAGTCTCTGTTGGAGATGTCACACTCCGAGGAGGAACGAGGGAAGGGGCGTAGGATGTTTTTGGCAGATCTCCTCAGAAAGTCAAGATATTGCTGCACCATTCATAAAAAATAGATGCTTCTCTGTAAAGCATTTAAAAAAAATATCCCACAGGTGACATCGTGGAGGCTTCAGTGGAGAGGCAAATATCCCAAACTGCTCTGGCGGCGTCTCCTGGCCCTGCCCAGGGGCTATTTCTTGGTAGTCTTGCGGATCAGTGCCATCCTCTGCAAGAAGAAAGGGGAAAACGTGGGAAGCTGAGCAGCTCAGACCAGGTGGCTGCACAACCTCCTGCAGCCAGGCAGGATTGAGGCATCCTGGGCTCTGCTGACGCTGCCTGACTTGCTTCCACACAGGTCTTTCAGGTCTGTTTGAATCCTAATGGGGTCCCAGGCTGGAGCCAGAGGAGGAGAAAGTGTCTGTGCTGCTCCACTTGGCACCCTGGGGTGGTGGGATCAGAGCCCACCTCAAGGCCTCCCCCCTCTCTGCAGCATCACTCACAAACCCACTGGCTCTGCAGGGTATCTCCTGCCTGGCTCTCACTGAGCACTCATAAAGCAATGGCCTAAGTCAGACCAAGCAAAGTTAAGGGTGTTTTCAGTCCCTCTACACAGAGACAAACCTGCCAGGGGCAGCTGAGAAGTGCCTGTGTGCAGTTCCCAGCTGGTTTTAACTCTCTCAAGCTCCTCAGCAGCAAGTGCTGCTGCTTCTCTTAGGGCACAGCCAACACTGCTCCACCACAGAAGAGCCACAGCAACCTCAACTCTCTTCTCTGCACAAACAGGCCAGGAGGCTCTGGAAGTCATGTCAAGTCCAAACCACTTGGAAGAGGCTACAAATTCCCAGTGCCCAGGAGCTCATGACCATCATCCCCATTATCAGCTCCTGGTGTTGCTGAGGGCTCCTTACCTGTTTGTGAGCTTCTGTAGTGCAGGCTTTTTTGTAGGGCCTGATTTCTTCAGAACCAAAGCCTGGGATCCACATGTTCCACTGACGCTCTGGAATCACAGGATGGTGTGGGTTGAATGGACCTTTAAAGCTCATCCGCTTCCAACCCCTGCCATGGGCAGGGATGCACTACCTACTCACAGCTTTCCACCCCAACACCATAGCCAGACTTCAGGAAGTGCTCCCAGCTCTCAGCAGAGGGGGGAAGAAGATATGAACCTCACTCACCAAGGTGCAACTGGACATCTTTCACCTCGAGGGTGTTGGACTTGCGGTGCCGTGCGAGCTGACACGCGGCTGTCACCACACTCTCGATGAAGTCGTCAGCGATCTGCAGCAGCATCTGTGGTGGAACAAGGGCAACAACCAGCCTGGTCAGCACTGAGGAGCTGGAAGTATGTGGAGAGGAGGAAAACGAGCCCTCAGAAGCTGGTAATTAGAAGCATGGAATATCCTGAGTTGGAGGGGACCCACTAGGATCATCAGTCTAACTCCTGTCCCTGCACAGGACACCCCAACAATCCACCCTGGGCCTGAGAGCATTGGCCAAACACTTCTGGAGCTCTGTCAGCCTTGGAGCTGTGACCACTGCCCTGGGGAGCTGTTCAGTGCCCAACCACCTCTGGGGGAAGAACCTTTACTAATACCCAGCCAAACCCTCCACTGGCACAACTTTAGACCATTCCCTCAGGTCCTGTCCCTGGTCCCAGGGAGCAGAGGTCAGTGCTGAGCCTCCACTGCCCCTCGTGAGGAACCTGCAGACCCCCACGAGCTCTGCCCTCAGTCTCCTCTTCTCCAGGCTGAACAAGCCAAGTGAGCTCACTCCCTCCTTGCATGGCCCCTCCTGACCCTTTACCTCCACGTCCCTCCTTTGGATGCTCTCTAACAGCTTCAGATCTTTCTTGCATTGTGGTGCCCCAAACTGCCTCCAGAACTGTATTTCACAGGTGTTTGCTACAACTGCTGTTCTAAAAGCCTTTTTGGCACTGGGATGCACAAAAGACAGGGATGGCTGAAGGCTATGAGAACACAGATGTGAAATGAACCGACCCTCCCTGCTCAGACAAAGGACCTCTGATCCATGACAAATCCAAAATCAGCTCCTTCTGCAGCTCCTGCCATGGGTTGGTACCTACTTCCTCCACATCTTCATCCAGCTGCTCGTTGGGATCCACCTCACGCACCAGGTCCTGCAGTTTCTTCTTGGTTAAAACCTGAGCATGTGGGAAAGAAGGATTTACTGCCCTGCTCACACAGCACAACCACAAACACCTCCTCCCCCGTGCCCTCGGGGCTGAGCCACACTGTTGACACAACCTATCAGCTCAGGAATGGCAGAGATAAGAAATATCAGGTGTTAAGGAGTCATCTTCGAGCACCCAGTGGTTGTTCTGAACAGAAAGGGGAAGCAGCAGGAGGAATAAATGTCTCCAGCACTAAACTGGCACTAAAATGCTGCTGGTATGGAGGGGCAAAGGCAAAACTACAAGTCTTAACAGGCAAACAGCAAGTGCAAGCAACAAATCAGTGACTAGGGTTATGCTCAGGGAACAAGGGAAGTGTTTCCACGGCTCTAGTGTTTATCAGCTTTAGTACTCCACGTGGAGAACAGAGATATGAGAGTGTTGGGTTATTCTGGGGCAGCAGCAGGGAGCAGCCAAAGGTGGCAAACACTGGGCTGGACAACAGGATGCTGAGTCTTAAAGGATATGGATGGAAGTTGCCAGTCTGGTCAGGTGATCCAGGCACAGATAGGAAACTCCTGTATTTCCTAGTTCCCTTCCACCAGCCACAGATCTGCTGCATGTGTGTTTGTGTCAGGGTCAAGTGCACTCTCATCAGAGGTCCTGGCTCTGGTGAAGCCACCAGGGAGCATTCCCAGAGTACCTGCAGGGCAGGAGCTTATTGCATGCACATCAAAGACTCCACACCAGGTGGGGTGGAAAAAGACCTTAAAGCTCATCCAGTTCCACCCTCTGCCATGGGCAGGGACACCTTCCACCAGCCCAGGTTGCTCCAAGCCCCATCCAACCTGGGCTGGAACACTCCCAGGGATGGAGCAGCCACAGCTTCTCTGGGCAACCTGTACCATCACCCATTTCTCCCCACATTTCTCTCATCTAAACCCCATTTAAAAAAGATTTCGCTCATCACATCCCCAATATACATTCCCTGAGGCTGGAAAAACCTCTGCACCTACAGCATCCATACCCCATCCAGCCTGGAAGCAAAGAACTCCACGCAGATGATTTGCTCACTCACCAACTGCTATTTTAATAGACATCAGGTTTTTGCTGGTGATTTAAGGAAGGAAAATGAAGCCACAGGCAGGTCTGAGCAGCAACCCTGTGGTCCTGAAATCAGGGATGGAATTACCTGGTTGCTTTCAGGGCTGAGCCTCCCTCCTCCGCTGGGTGTTCCTGGCATCTTTGCCACTGTGGTGCTGTTGGCCATGGAGCTCTGGGGGGGAGTGCTCGCTGGTTCTGGCTTGATGGAGGAGAAGTTGGAGAGGTTGATCAAGGTAGAAGGGCCAAACTGGTTCATAATCTGTTGGGCTTTAGCTTTTAGATCATAAAGCTTGTCTAGGTCCTGCTTCTTCTTGGGGTTGTGGGGACCCAAACCAATCAACTGGAAAAGGAAAGGAAAGCCATGGTTAGAAAGAGAAGGAATTCAGTGAGGTGAAGAGGTCTTTGTCCAGAGAAAACTGCAGTGTCCTGATGGGGCCTGAGAGCTCAGGTCTGGGTGCTCAGAGGTAACGTGGCAGTAACACGTGTGTGCCCACACCTGCTGCTGGTTCCTCCCACATGGGCAACCAACACCCACAGGAAATGGACTGGGATTCACACAGCTCTTAGTGGTGAACCAGAAGGGGGCTGTTGTGGCCTAACTGGTTATTCAGATCCTCCAGGTGCCTGAAGTTACTCAGGTTGGTGGTCACAGAGTGAACACAGCCTGACTGGCACCTCCTCTGTTTCATGGCTCCAACCCCCAGACTGGATGAAGCTTTGCTCTGTCCTCACTGCTCCACACCAGGAAACTCATCCAAACCCTGCACCTCCCACTGCCACAGCTGCTGTGACAGGTCTGTCCCATGGAAGGTGAATTTCAGGAATGGCTTGACGGCAAAGCCTCTCGTGGTGTGCCCAGAGATGGCTGAGAAGCAGCAGCACAGGGTGAACTTACAGAAGAAGAGTTTGTTTAACCAGCTTTACAGGATTCACGGACAGAGCATCAGCTCCATGAGCTACAGACAGATATTTCTCCTCAGCAGAGCAAGCTTGGTTAGTCTGGATTAATTCATACCAAAAGCCACACCAGAAAGCACACAGGAGCACTCAGGAGCAGCTGCTTTAGTGCTTCATTCCAAGGCACACTCATGCACCTGCTGACACCTAAATTCCCCTTTGAGGGGAATTTATACCACAGACACCCTTCTGCAGTGCCCTCAGCAAGTTTCCAGCTCAGTTTTAACTGAGTTAAGGATGGAAAACCATGACACTCACAGCCTAGAACCCCTCAGCTGGCAATTCTGAGGGAGGAGCTCAGCATAAGATCAGGATGGACTTCAGTCTTGCTTTTGGCTGGGGCTGATCTCAGACTGTTCAACGCACACCTCACTTCACAAATCCACCAAGCAGGAATTCCTACCCACATGCAAGGGAAGAAACACTCAGATTCTCAGGCAGAAAGCACCCAAGCCCTTGGGCAGAGACCACTCAAGGCCTTGGGCAGAAAGCCCCATAACCCTGGGGCAGAAGCACTTTATTAGCATCGAGTCCTTTTGTTGGTTTATTCTGGATCTTACCAGACCTTTCACGTGCTGCTAAGATCCCTGAACAGAGAACTCAGAGGATGAGCATATTCCCAGGACAAATCCCACATGCCAGACCCGTTTACTTACAGCTATCTGAGTGTCTAGATCTTTAATTACATCAGCCACAGCTGTGGGCCCAGAAAGAGGAGAGGCCATTGCCCACAGCCTTCCCAGAGCATCACCAGGCAGCGACACCTACTCTGGCTTCCTCCTCTTCCACACAACTCCCATGCCTATGGAACACCAGATATTGGTTGTAACACCCATTCTGTGTCAGACTGGTGAGAGGAAAGAGTTGCACACAGAAGCTCAGGTTGTCCTCACTGCAGTGCCTAAGGGTTTATCGGTCAGAGGAGATCTCACAGTGGCTGCTGCAGGGGATAAGCATCTCCCCCAGGATCCTGAGGGAAATTATGGTCAAATTCTCTTTTTCTGCCAGCAAACTGAGTATCCTGATGTCTGCTGAGGTGCAGGTGAGCCCAGAGCCCTGCAGCTGCAGCTCCCTCCAGGGCAGGAGTGGACCTGGGGGCTGTGAAGAGCCATTGGGACAGCACAGGGGGAGAGCTGGAATTAAAATCCATGTTAATGCCAAACAGCACATTCCCTGGAGTACTCAGGGGGCTCCCACTCCCATTGAGCATAGAGATTGTCACCTAAATACAATCACATTATCACAGACTGGTTTGGGTTTGAAGGGAGATTGAAACTCAACTCATCCCACCCCCTGCCACACACAGGGACACATTCCACCAGCCCAGGTTGCTCAAAGCCCCATCCAACTTTATCCAACCTGGCCTGGAACACTCCCAGGGACGGAGCAGCCACAGCTGCTCTGGGCAACCTGTGCCAGTGTCTCAGCACCTCACAGGGAAGAATTATTGCTCATATCCAATCTGTCCCTGCCCTCTGGCAGTGGGAAGCCATTCCCTGTGTCCTGTCACTCCATCCCTTATCCCAAGTCCCTCTCAGCTCTCCTGGAGCCCCTTCAGGCACCGCAAGGGGCTCTAAGCTCTCCCTGGAGCT